CTTCTTTTTTATTTCTATTTTCGGTCCCACTCTCTGACAGCAGTTTGTTACGTCTCTGTTCGTTTGTTAATTTTCTGTGGAAATTCTTCCCAAAGAACTTCAGCGATACAAGTCCTTCCTTAAATAAAACTAGTTTATTCTTTCTCAATTCAACTTTGCAGTACACTTAATTTCCACAGTCACTTATGCTATAATTCACAACGAACGATTCACGCACTTTACTTACTACCGCGCTTGACTTAATTGTCCGTCTCTATCTCTGCCTATCTGCAATTCAATTATTGCCGTCACTTTATTTGCAGACTTATATACTAAAATAGAGGGTGCCTTGCAAATACTGGATTATTCGTGATGTTCCTTGATCCTTCTAGAAACTCATCACGTGTTACCAGCGTCACGTGACTTCCGCTGTCGTAACAATATTATACTAGCTGAGGTACCTGTCCTTTGTCCGTGTTATGAACTTTAAAAAATGTAGGGAGTGGATGCTATAATAAGTAAAACAAAAATCCTAACTTTCACACAATATATTTATAATGTAACGTATTATTACAGTATTCATTATTACCTCACCTAAAGTTTTGTATAAGCTTTAACAACTATATATGTATATATTTTTAAAGAGAAGAAACCATAAAAAATTCAAACTGATAAAGGTACAGAATTCATTGATAAAAAAAAGTTGTTTAATGATCAGAATGTTCATTGGTTTATAACTGAAAGCGATGTTGAAGCTCAAATTATTGAAATATTTAATAGAACTTTGAAATTAACAACACGACACTCAGATTGCGAGTCGAGCGCCCTAACCACTTGGCCATGCTGGGCCAGTTTTTATCGTAAATTAAAGATATTGCTAGTCTTATTTCAAGTTTTATACGCTGCAACGCATTGTTACTTGATATGTCAATGTATTCAAGTATGAGTTACTGATCTGAACTGTCTCAACAGATCAGTATTATGCTACACGTAACTGGTATGTATAAACATTCACTGTCTTAATAATATTGTGCTATGCGTAACCGGTGTTTACATTCATTGACTGTCTCAACAGTGTTATTCTATACGTCACTTGTTTTTGAATCCTGAAAATGTAGGAAACATGACTGATATTTCGGTTGTTTTACATCAGAAAGGGTGCTTAAAATTAGTTTAAACTAGATATTAAATTTTTAATACGAATAACCATCAAGACTTATAAACTACGCTTAAAAGAGGGATAGAAAAATTTACAACACTGCTTTTAACTTTTATTTTTAACTAGTTTTTCAATTGATCATTCAATATTTTTTTCTCAGCCATCAGTTTTATGCTCTTAAATGTTTTCTGTTAAACCCTTTATTACATTTCTACCAAAGTTACATGACTTTTAATTCTTATTACATTTTTCATTGTTAGATAGACCCTGAAAGAAAATACTGCAATATATTAACATTTGACCTCGATGTAGAAGCAAACAAAAATCATTGCTTTGTTTAATTTAAGAATTTGTGATTTTTATAGCCTATAGGTTCTTTTATTACTCAAATTGCAATATCAGATACGTACTGTCATTAAATTCTGATCAAAGCAAACTATAAACGTAGACCAGAGCTAAAAATTAACCCAGTAATTAACATAGGCAATGTAAGATACCGTTTCACTTATAAACAATAGAATGTATTGATTCACTTACCCAAGCAAGTCTACCAGATTATGACCAAAACCATCATATACATTTCCATACACCCCTATGTCACATAAAAGTCGAGCGATACAATTTTTTCTGTTATTTCTATTCGTGGTGTCCAGGAAAATGGACGGTGCATGTAATGCATTGATGACCACTGGCTGTTCTATCTCCTTCCCATCAGATGGTTCATCCACACTTCTTTTAAAACGGACAAGTGGGAATGGGCGACGACTTCTTACTGCAGTTGCAGATTCCCTATTTTTTGAGCCCCACCAACCGTATGATTGCAAAATAGAGAGTCCGTTTCTTTGAGCAAAGACTAATGGCACTACTAGACACACTGCTATAGTCATTTTACAAACACCCATCATTTTTTCAACACTTTTCCAACACTGTAAAAACAGGAAACATCCAGTTATATTGTTAATACATAAAGAGTGTAAAAATATAAATGCTTGGAACAAATACTTTTCAAAAGTGAGCTACTCTCCATGTTTAATTTGGAAGTTGGAACAGACAGTCGGTTATTTTATTAATTTAAGTATTTAAAATGAAAGTGTCATTGTGTTTAAAATTGAACTTTTGGTAAGATATATATATACGTTATAGTTTTAACAAAAACAACAACATTTTCCCTAATTTATCAAACTCCAAAGTATTGCTATTACTGCAATTGTTGGGAGGTTTAAGTAAAAAAATCTTGTGTTGGAAACATATATATATATAATCACATTCACATAATAAATATACGAACCTGAGATATGAGTATTTTCTTTCTACTGTTCCTTATTTCTAAATCTAGACGTTCAGTATCCCTTCGATCCTT